TGAATGAGATTTCTACAGAGGAGAGAATTGCTCTGTCTGTGAGCTGGAGGAAAATAAACTGTGCACAGCATCGACTGACCTTGCCTTTGATGAAACATGTTTCTCCCTGGGAGGAAGGGGAGAGTGTCATTGGAAGCCAGCTAACAAGCCAGGCAGCAACTTGTCTTATAAAATGTAGTTAGAAATAAAAGCAGTTTGAGTGGTTTTCAAATGTCTTAATCTTCATAATTGTTTCCACATTCCGGCTGGCTGGACATATTTTCAGAGAAGCAAGTATGGGAGAGTCTAAATGAAAGCTTTGCTCACGAAGTTTTCATTTGGATTCCACATATAGACCTTCTAAACCATCATTTTATAAAGTCTTAAATTACTGAAGTTTGAAGTTGTGGTAATTGCTCCAAAGTTTAGCATCTTTTGTTTCTGGGTCAGAACATTAAATCCTCTAACCCTTTAGTATAAAAACAAACAAACCAACACCAGCTTGGATTTCATAGGAGTCAGGTTTAACAACATTAATGTAATCCAGAAATTAACAATAATATGATGCCCTATTCTCTAAACAAGTTGAAAACATTTTTCAAAAGTGTCTTTCTACCCTTTTCAGGGCTGCTTAAAAAAGAAAAAAAAAAATAAAGATCAAAAGCTACATAGGACACCTATCTATTTTTTTTTTTTTGATAGTTTGGGGCAGTCTTGGAATATGAGTTGATCAGATATTTCTGTTTGTAATTCTATAGTTAATGCAACTATAAAGATAATTCTTGGATCCATCTGGTATTTCATTTGCCTAACGAGAGCACATAGTGTGTAAATGAGTGCTTGGGCTTATAGAACAGGGTTGCCTGGATAGAATCTTTTGTTTCCCACCTGTGTGGCCTTTGATAGATCTTTCAGTTTTTGTAACTTGCAAAATAGGTATAATAATTATATTTACATAATTATTGGGAAGATTAAATTAGGTGATCCAGTAAACTTTTGAGCCTAGTACTGGCATAGAGTAAGTGCTCCAAATAGAATAATTAAAAATAGCAAGACCAGAGTGCAGATATTAAGTAACTCACATGCTTAGACACATATGTAACACATAGTTAAAAAAAACTATGAACATATGAAAAACTATGAACACATAGTTAAAAAAACATATAGTTTGAAAAGATGGAGCTCTTAAGTTGTCATCTTTAATGATTGATGTATAAATTAGTAAAGGCATTTAACTCAAACTTCATTTTGGGATGGAACAAAATACTGTAAGATAGAGATCCATTCATCCATTGATTCATACATATATATATCTGTTCATCATCCATCCATCCATTCATTCATTTATTCATGCATTTGTTCATTTATTCAACAAATGCTGACACTATGAATGTGAACATAATAGGCAAGGTCCCTGCTGTGCTAAAGCAGAATGACCTGGTGGTGGGAGTTGAACAGTAAGTACATAAATAAGAGAAGAGAATGGGCAGTGTGAGCTATTGGGTAGATATGCAGAAGCTCAAACAGAACTTTTCACAGGATTTCTTAGAGTTGATCAGGGGAGGAATTTTGTGAATAGAACTTTTATGCTATAATTGAGATAACATTAATTTGTTTAAACTCACAGAGTCATATTCTAAGAAAGGTCAAAAGATCAGAGATCTGTCATTTTCTGAAGATTTTAGTGATCTCCAGGTAAGATTATATGATAATCTGTGATTAATGTGGCCTGGGAATGGACTGGCAAAAGCTTGGCAGTACTTGTTACAAAGCTTCCAGTTACTCATGTTTGACCTCTGAGATAAAAACATTGGGAAATGTTTTACAGAAGAATTAATGAAAGTGACATCTGGATATAGTCATTTATCAGTAAAAAATTTTATGGTTCTGTGAAATTGTAAGTGGAAAATTATCTCATTTTACTTACTGGAAAGCTCTATGCTGTGTTGATAAGAAGGAAGTGAACATATACAGATCTTTGAAGCGTCTCCTCTGAACACTACATTTACAGCAGTAGTTGAAGAAGAAAGGAAGAATACATTATGTGACTATATAGTCCTAAGACAGAATTTGCAAACTAGTGTTTAAAAGTTTGTTTATTTAGTTATTACAGAAAATGTTGAACATATATAAACTGAAAATAAGGTTTTTAAAGTGACTCAAAGTTCCACTGTTCTGACTTACAGTTTTGAATTTTTCCTTATTTTTTTTCTATAGCTTTAGAAAGTTTTCATCAGACTAACATATAATGGACATGTGAGTCTGGATATGTATATACCTGTATAATTATTTACAATTAAAATACTGGTGTTCTCTTTGTCATATTATCATAACTTCATGGTGGATGTGATTTTCATTTACAGCATAACATTTCAACCTGTAGAATTGTTTTTTAAAAAACCAATAACCAATATGAACTTTGATGTTCTCATGACTAATCACAAGTTTTCTGTAATATCTCAACTTTTATAAGACAAAACTACTTCTAGTCTCAAGACAAGTTTTTCTGAAAAAGATGTAAGAATTGCCATTTTGATTTTGAAGAGGGAAAGTTTAATTGGAAGATTTTTGAGGTAAATCCATTGAGGTTTTGGTATGTCATATAATTACAAATTCTGCCAAGTATAAGAACCAAAACTAAAGATATACAATTCTAAATATTAAAAATTAGGAAAACTTTAACATATATTTGTAGCATCTGCATTTCAGTATCATTTTGACAACATCCATCCTGGCATTTTTAGCAAATTAGTGAAGGATAATTTTAAAATTATGAATGTTCTCAACTATTTAGAGCATAAAAGAATAACTTTTAATTTTTAATTAATGAGAGGATGCATAATAATTGTATTGTTAAGATTCTTCATGTGTTATCTTAGTCTATTCCAGATGTTACAACTAAAATACCTTAGACTACGTAATTTATAAACAACAGAAATCCACCACTTACCATTCTGGAGGCCAGGAAGTCCAAGATACAGGTCCCAGCAGATTTGCTGTCTTAAGAGTGGTCTGATTTCTCCTTCAAAGATGGAGTCTGTGGCTGTACCCTTCCATGGTGGAGTAAAAAAAGGAGATAAAAAAATCTCCCTTAGGCATCTTTTAACAGGGAGACTAAGCCAGTCATGAGGGCAGAGCCTTTATGGTCTAAAAATTTAGGTTTCAACATGAATTCGAGAGGGACACAGACATTCAGATCGTAGCATGTGGATCTTGGATCTTTTTTTGTCTTCAATTTTTATAGACTTCAACATGGTTGAAAACTGAATTTTCTCCTTGGGTATTTAAATTGAATTTCACTAGGTTATTATCCTCTCTCTATTTAACTCTCTTATGTTACTGTTGGGATCAGAAATGTAATCTGTCTCAAGCACAGATTAACAAGATGTGTCAGAAATCTTTAAATAAATTTTTGTTCTTTACTTCAGTTTGAAATCAATGGATTATTTTTACAGAAATAATTGGTCAAGTATATAAAGATTAATGCACAAGAATGTAGCCTTCCTTATAAAAGTGAAATACTGGAAACAACCTTAATTTTCAACACTTATGAATAAGTTAAGTAAAATGTGATACATTCATGTATGAAATATTATGAAGCTATTAAAATTATACAATCTGTATTTTTAATTCGGGAAATTGTTGCAGTATAGCGTGTGTGTGTGTGTGTGTGTGTGTGTGTGTGTGTGTGTGTTATATGAAATTACTGGATATTTACAGTTAAACATTGATGAATGTCTCCAAAAGAGACTGACTTTTGTTTTGTTGTTATTAAAATTGAGTCCTTCTTTGTAATTGTAAAGCAGTAGAATCATTTGCCTCTTGAGACCACTCCTAGTTTATTTTAAGCATGTAAAGTAGTACTTTACCTCCCATTTGTACAACAGAGAAGCAAATATCTAATTTGTTTAAAAGTATCATTGTCTCATTAAAATATAAATTAGCAAGTAGACTGTCTGAGATACATTTCTGTTTTGTACTACTTAAAATTGTTTTCTGGTCTGTTTACCCTGATTGTAGATATGACATTGGATTATAGGCATTTGCAGGAACTTTAAAACCTAGGGATTCTAACTATACTTTTGCTGTTTGCACACTTTATTTTTAGTGGACACTTAGCCCTTCTTTCTTGTGAAGGATCCCAGGGTCATTTTAGTCAGAAGGCTGAATCCGAATCTTCAGCCTTGGTCTCCATGGAGTGGACCTCTTCAGGGCTGATCATACCGCCGAAAGGCAGAATATCTGGTTTTCCCTACCAGCTGTGGCAGATGGATGTCCTCAGAGTCCCGCCCAGCCCTACCTTATCCAGAATCTCTCACCTTTAGGGGCCAGGACATTTTGTACTGAGAGGAACAGCATCTTCTCTGTCTGCCTGGCCCTCCCGGTTGGAGTCTCTGTTCACACATCTGTCCAAGGGACTTTCTTTCACATTATATTGGCTATCTTCTCAAACCCTAGATCTAAGTCTTGCACATAGACATCTCATCCTCTACCACCTGTTGGTTGAGACTCTCCAAAGAAAGAAATTTAAGTGATTGACTTGGAAAATTCAATAAACAAATATATATTGGTATAGTATAGATTAAGAGACTATAAGGAAGGCTTGAACACAAAGGGGAGGAAGAGGTGTTCAAAGTCTTTCTCCCTGTATATACTACATGCTTAAAAGTGAATGTGATTGTAGCTTGAAACCTAAACAATGATCAAAGGAGGGTCAAGAGTGGGAAGCAAAAGTGGTGGACCACAGGCAGAACGAGCAGATCCTGCAGTTATTCATAATGAACAAAATAGACACAGATGCTGTCTCACTGAAATTGCCGCCTTCCCTGGTAAACAAACAACACGCAAGCTAAATGCTGTGGTGGGAAGTTAGGGACCAGTGTGTTACAACAAGGGGATTTTTCCTGCCAGATGAAGGACTAGTGGAAGTTAGCGGAAGAAGGGACCACAAGTGTTAATTGGTGTCTCAGTGCTGATTTCACAAACAGTGATATTTGTTTCTTTTTAAAATTTCTTTGTAGGATGTTCTGCTCTTCTCCACGATGAATGAGTGTCACTATGATAAACGGATGGACTTTTTTTATAACAGGAGCAACACCGACACTGCTGATGAGTGGACAGGAACAAAACTCTTAATTGTTTTGTGTGTTGGGACATTTTTCTGCCTGTTTATTTTTTTTTCTAATTCTCTGGTCATCGCAGCTGTGATCAAAAACAGAAAGTTTCATTTCCCTTTCTATTATCTATTGGCAAATTTAGCTGCTGCAGATTTCTTTGCTGGCATTGCCTATGTATACTTGATGTTTAACACTGGCCCAGTTTCCAAAACTTTGACTGTCAACCGCTGGTTTCTTCGCCAGGGGCTTCTGGACACTAGCTTGACTGCCTCTCTGACCAATCTGCTGGTTATTGCCGTGGAGAGGCACATGTCAATCATGAGGATGCGGATCCACAGCAATTTGACCAAAAAGAGGGTGATACTGCTCATTCTGCTGGTGTGGGCCATCGCCATCTTCATGGGGGCGGTCCCCACGTTGGGCTGGAATTGCCTCTGCAACATCTCTACCTGCTCCTCCCTGGCCCCCATTTATAGCAGGAGTTACCTCATTTTCTGGACTGTGTCTAACCTCATGGCCTTCTTCATCATGGTGGTGGTATACCTTCGGATCTACATGTATGTCAAGAGGAAAACCAATGTCCTGTCTTCACATACCAGTGGGTCCATCAGCCGCCGGCGGGCTCCCATGAAGCTCATGAAGACAGTAATGACTGTCTTAGGTAAGAGGAGCCTTGTGAGTCATTTTTCCTATTCATTAGCAATTTTTTATTCAGCATCTGTTGTATGTAAGACACGTAGTGGGCAGTCAAGGTGCAGCAGTGCAAAAGAAAAGACATAAATCCATCCCCGTCACCTAGAGATTGTACTCAAATAGGGGAAGAAAAAGTAAGTATTCTACTAGAGGGAGATAAATACAATTTATAAAATAAGAAGGATCTTATGTGGAAAAATAAACCAAGAAAGGCAATTAGGAGTGCCAAGCATGTTAAATTTGTGACTTAAAAAAGAAAAAACTAAAACACTATGAAGGTCACCTACAGTAAGTGCCTACCTGGCAAGCACAAGGTCTTGAGTTTGAATCCTGATGCCAAAAAAACAAGCAAACACAAACTTAAAACTTTTTGAGCATCAATGCATAAAAAGTTCACAGAACTTCTTGTCTCACGCACTTCAGTTCAGGATCCCTGGTTTTGGGGCAGAGACGACGAGTAGTGAACCACTTGGGTGCATAGAAAAGGACTCCAGGTAGAAGACGCAGCAAGCCCAGGACCTTGAAGGAGACTGGTGTGGCTATAGTGGAGTGAGGCAGAGGAGGAGACGAGGTCACAGAGTTGATGGTGAGAGGCTGCAATGCTCTCATTGTAAGGACTTTGACTTTCCTGAATGAGATGAAAAACTACTGGAAAGTTCTGGACTTTGACATGATCTAACTTAAATTTTAGGGCACCTCTCTTGCTGCTGTTTTAATGGAAGACTGTACTAAGATAAGGGCAGAAGCAGAAGAACTGCTTAAAAGGTTATTCCAGTGCTTAAGAAGGATCACAGAGGCTAGAGGGCAGTTGGAGGTGATGCTCAGATCCTGGATATTTTTTAAAGATAGAATCGATAAGATTTGCCGATGGGAGGTGAAGGGAGGAGGGGGAAGGTGGGAAACATCCTTAACAGGGATGAGGAAGATGGAAGAGGAGGAAGTGTGGGGGAAGGTCAGGAGTTTGAGCCAAATCTAAGATCCTGTTAGACATTCAAGTGGAGTGCCGATCCTATTTAATATGCTGTTGATGTACGCATCAGAAATGCAGGATATGAAAGTCATGGCTGGGGGAAGAACTGGTGCTTTACACCAAGGACTGTGTGAGCTCACCACGAGGGGAATGTGAATGTCGGAAGAGCAAGAGAAGAGGGTCAAGGGATGGGCCTCAATGTCCTGGAGCTTCAGTGGCCTAGATGCAAGAGAAGGCTGCAGTCAAGGACAAGCAGTATCAGTTGAGGGATCCTGAACTGAAGTGTGTGAGACAAGAAATTCTGTGAACTTTTTATGCATTGATGCTCAAAAAATTTTAAGTGTGTGTTTGCTTGTTTTTTTGGCACCAGGATTCAAACTCAAGCCCTTGTGCTTGCCAGGTAGGCACTTCCACCACTGAGCTATATTACCAGTCCCCAAATTAGATTTTGAGGTGTTTCGGACTTTGGATTCTTGGGTCAGAGGAACTCAACTGTGTTAGCACTGTTAATACTCCTCAGAGGTGGAGTCAAAGTCCCACTGGGTTCAGCTAAATGTTGCCTTTTTTTTTAATGACTGAGAAAATAAAATTTAGTGTAGCTGAGAGCCTAACTAGAGTAAAATTAAGAAAGAAAAGGAAGAAATGCTTTAAGAAAGTGAGTTTGGAAAGCTCTAAGGAGTTTTGCTTTGCACTCTAAGCCTCGTCCTACAAAGACATGGCTGATGTGGTAAATGTTCCCTGACGTTTTGACTTCTCTTTGGTCAGTGGCTTATTGTCCCCCGATTCCAGTTCTGGGTTACAAGCAGAATTTGTGATGCGTGGACAAGCAAGAACTCCTGTGTTTTCACAGGCCTTGTCCTCTGAAGGAGAGAGCCTCTTTTTCTCTTTGTGTGGTGGCTGCTACAGTGGGGGCTGATACAGAGGTCCAGAAGTATATTTCTATCAGGACTCGAAGTGAAGAGGCTATAAAATAAATTGTGGGGAGATAATTGATATTGGAGGGTGCAGCATGTGTGTCATACAAAAGGAAAATATGGTCCCCAGGTACTGCTACTGCTGGCAAGATTTTGAGATCAATAGAGAAACAAAACAATTATCAAAATAATTTTAAATTGAGGATTTTAAAAATATATACTTTATATAAAAATATATATAGTGCTTAGCTTGTGCTAGACACTGCCATTTTTTGTGAATATTACTTTGTCTAATCCTCACGGCAACCCTGTGGGGCAGGTAACCCTCCCATCACTGTTGACCAGATGAAGCGATTGAACGGAGAGTATACATCATTTTGCTGGTAGTCTGGGGCCAAGGACTCCCTGTGCAGCTGGCACCAGAATACAAGTCATTGACACCATCCTCTGCAGCTAGTTGTGATTTATTTGGACTTTTGCTGGTGTTCTTTTTGTCCAGCTTCTGCTTTGACTGCTCATTCTCTTTTTCAAACTGTGAGAAGAATAAGAAAGGGCAAGTTCACATTCATCAATATTTCTCTTCTTGAACTCGAAAGAGTGTTGATGTACGTTTGTAAAGACCAAAGGTTGGTACTGATAGATTGTGTCAATCAACTCTGCCCTGCCCCCATCTCTAACTGGTAGGCTTAGTCATTTGGTTGGTTGTGTGTCTTGAAGAATTACCTTCCTTCTTGGAAAAACATTTTTTACCAGTATATTATACTATTATCAACAGTATACAGCAGGAGACAGGAAAGGCTTCAGTTCATACTGTTATGTATAAGTTTATCTGGAACAGTTAAGAGGAGTTTAAAACAAAGGGGCTTTGTGGTTTTGACAAGTGTGATGTTGGGCAACAGAAAAACGGAAATAAACAATGAAAATGCCCAGTAGGATAGAGAAGTCGTGGGATTAAGATGAAGCAGCACTGGGGAATTGGTTAATGGCAGGATGACAGTTTGGTGTTGAGGGACCTGGGGAAGTTCCTCCGTGGCGAGACAGAGGGATCTGGTGGAAGACAAGAGGTCTGGGGACAGGGGAAATGAAACTGAACCCCTGCGCAGTGTAAAGGTTGTAAGATTTCTAGCTTCTGATTTCTTTGGATAACAAATATTTGGGTTTATCCCCAACTCTTTTATTTTCTACAAGGTAATCTGCAGCCATTAGTTTACCTTTTCTTGGTTAAATCTCCTTATCTGAGAGGGAATAAGCAATCTTCAGTTCATTCCAAGTTGTAAAATTAAGTGGCTGCATGAATTTATTGAATTTAATCTCAGTCCAAAGACAGGGCACAGGGTAGACAGTGGTCGTGGAGTTTTGGGAAGCTTCTTAGAGAGCTTGGGATATCATCTTGAAGGACTGGTAGGATTTGTATTGGCAGGAGAAAAAGACATTCTAAGCATGAAATCCTGTAATGAAAAATATGATGGTAGAAATATCTAGAGCTCATGCAAAGCCACAAGGAAGGGCCTTGGAACACTGATGCTTGCTGTGGCACCAAAAAAATAGTGAATCTGTGAGCTGGAAAGGTTTAGTCAGCTCTCTTTGGAAGGGAAGAGTAGACCAGATAATCTTTGTCGGTGGGATTTTGGCTGAACACAAAAGCACAGAGAGCCGCATAGCTAGCAGACTCTTTGCTCGAGGGTGGTGGTGGCGGTGAGGGCAGTGATTGTGAGCCCATGATTGGTAAGGCATGTAGGCACCCTGTTCCCATTTCAGCAGCCCCGAGGCAGAATGCTTGTTTCCTTCTGGGTTATGATGTGTGATGGGGCCTTTGTGTGAGAGATGTTGCTTACTGGTTCTCATTGAAAAGACACAGGGGGATATATAATCCTGCTTCCCAAAGGGCATCAAGGCTCTGTCTAAGCATTTCAAAATCCTGCTTATCGACAAGACTAATCAGCTACAGTAACCAAACATATAAGATACCCCGTGTTTACTGTCAAACAGCACCATGTGACTTGAGCACACAGGGTTAAGAAAATGGGCTGGGCTTTCTTCTGTTTTGCAATGTCTTGAAATACAAATGAAAAGAAAGGGTGAAGGGATTTATGACTCATACATTTGAAGTCTTCCACAACCTTCCTGTTTCTGTAGGTGATATTTTCCAGCTGTGGGTTGTGACTCCCTGGATTAGTCCCTATTCATCTATGGCAGATGTAGTCCAAGACCCCCAGTGGATGGCTGAAACTATGGCTAGCATGCAGCCCTATATAGACTATGTTTCTTCCTGTAGATCTGAACCAGTGGTAGTTTAATTTATAAATCATGCAGAGTAAGAAATAGCAATAGCTTACTATAAGTCTCAGCAACCTCAGCATACAGTTTTGTTTTTCTTTTCCTTAAGTTGAAAATGTTCACTTTTTAACTTAGAAGAAATACTTTATGGCTTCTCTTTGGTATGTCTGAATCACCAGCATCACTATTTGTGTACTTTGAGGCCATTAATAAGTAAAATAAATTATCAGAACATAAGCACTGTGATAGAAGGACAGTTGGTTTCATCACTGAGATGGCCACTAAGTGACTAACAGAAGGTAGCACATAATGTGAGTGTGCTAGACAGAGGGATTATTCACATGTCAGCTGGCAGGAGTGGAACAATACCAGATTCCATCACATTAATCAGAACCTATAAATTGTTTATTTCTGGAATTTTCCAGTTAACATTTCAGACAGCAGTTGATTGTGGCTACCTGAAGCTATGGAAGGTAAAACTGAATAAAGGCAGAGTATCATACTGGGATTTTAACCAGTGTAGTTTTAACCTTATATCAAACAAAAAGAAATGTTAGAATACATTGCATTTAATAGGTGTAGATATTGTTTCATAACCTTTCCTTTCATGTACGTATAGATCCTGGGTCATGACCTAAATTTAGTGTTTCTTGTCATGGGTTATGCCCAAAAACATTTTGAAAGCCATGATCTTAGCAAGGTTTATTTTTGGTCAATAAGGACTGGACTGGTTTTTTAAAATATGAAATGTTGTTGTTTTTAGAAGATGTTTGTAAAGATTTGTGGTGATTGAAACAAGGAGCTTAA